TGTAATTCTTTTTTTATTTTTTTTGTGCTCTTTGTCAGTATTGTTTGAAGTCGGTTCAACTATTTTTTTAAAGGATTTATCTGCTTATGCCGCAGTTTAATGACATTTAAACCCTCAAGAAAAGAACGTACTCTTGGCTCACAGGCCGACAACGCACTTATGACTCCCGAGTTGCAGATGTGCATGGGCGGCGGTAATCACTCCATCAGATAGAACGTCTCCTCATTCGCCCCCGAAATCATAAAAGAATCATTATGTTTCACTAATCACTGCACATAGTATAAGTATATTTTACCTGATAAGTAATGACTTATCAGGTAAAATATAATATAAAAGAAAAAAAAGAACTTAGATACGATAAATAAATGTATTTATCGTATCTAAGTTCTTTTTTTTCATTTTTTTTATGTTAGAGGGGGCAGACGAGCAGGGGGGTTACCTGATGGAAAGTGACTTTCGCCGCCTATGAACGTCAGCAACTCAGGGAGTAGCTCTTTTCTTGAAGGTTTGAAGGAAACCGCAATCCGTCCGGAAATACCGCAGACGATAACCCGTTCCACAGATTGGTTGTGCGGGGCAAAAAGTGGAGTAGTGGAGCGCCAACTATCCAGGTAATGAGGATGAAAATTTTGCCTTGTGGAACGATGGCGAAATTTGGTATTAGTCCGAACAATTCCTCGGAGCACTCTCCATGATATATGCGATAGAGAATGCAGAGTGAAGCCACATCGATCGATCCGATCGGAGATGTTTGGGCTATCGACGTTTCGAGTCGCTCTTCGTTGGATGCGGTCCAAAGGGACAATCTGGTACTGAGGTGCCCCTGCACAGAGATGAGAACAGTATTCCATATGCGGCCGAACTTGCGCCTTAAAGAGCTGAAGGCAGTGGGCCGGAGTGAAACACGGCCTCGCTCTGTTCAGTACACCGAGCTTCTTCGAGGCCAATTTGACATTTTCCCGAGAAATTTTGGTGCGGCCGGTATAAAGGGCATCTCCTGCATAGCAATGGATGCCACTAGTTTGCAACATGTCATTGATATGCAGAAGAAACAGTGTGGGTAATAGCACACAGCCTTGGGGGACACCAGCATTTACGAATTTCAAGTCGGAGCATGCACTGTCGACAACGACCTTAATGCTTCTGTCCGTAAGGAAGCTGGTGGCCCAATTACACAATTTCTCGGGAAGCCCAAAGGAAGGGAGCTTCGAGAAAAGCGCCTTATGCCAGACCCGATCAAAGACCTTCGCTATGTCCAAACCAACCGCACAAGCCTCTGCTCAATATTTAATTATGTAAACGTTAGCGAATGTTATATTAACACGATCACGTAATATATAATACACTAGCTGTACCCTTTTTTTTTTTCCGTGCGGAAATCCCCTCGGATACCACCTGTCGGTGGCATGTCGGACTCGAACCGACTAAAACCGCACGCCGTCTCGGGTACTAATAGCCGGGGAACCAGGTATACCCTAGAAAGGAAGTCCCTGGTGCCCCGACATACCTCGGGTCATCTACAGACGAGTAGACGACCCCCCCCCCCCGTGTGGGAACCCCATGTTCCCTGTGCTCCCTGGAAGCGAGCGCGCTTCGCAACGACGGCCGGCCTGCTTCTGCACCTGTCACCCCCAGGCCTGCGCTTATGGAGGACGGAGGTCGTTCTGCGACCTCCGGCGCCTGAGTCGCCTGCGGTACCTGGCCCGTTCCCGGGCCTGGCGGGCCGGGAGAGTCCTAAACCTCTCCCGGTCCCGCTCCGCCGTCTCCTTCGCGAGCATAACTTGCTCGCAGAAGGAGACGGCAGAGTTCCACGCACTCTCGCTCCGCACGATAGCCGCAATCAGGCTATCGAGCGAGAGAACTCCCACTCCGGTGGCCGCCACGAGGTCTCGCCCCTGCTCAACCCACGCCGGGCACTCTGCCAGGGTGTGAAGAGCCGTATCCACGGTCTGGCCATCGCAGTGGTGGCACTCAGGCGTTGGCTCCTTGCGGATCAGACACAGGTGATCCCCAAAACATCCCTTCCCAGTGATCACCTGCGTCAATCGGTATGAGAGGGTCCCGTGACGCCTCTCGAGCCAATCCTCCATAACGGGTCTTACCGCCGCGATGACGGCGTGCCCGACTAGCTGTACCCTGCCACAATTGCTGTGACACATTGTTATTCCATTGCTGAGAAATGAAACTGACACGAAAAATAGATAACAACAATTTTTTAAGCGGCTTGTATTTAGTTTCAAAATTTGAGCACAATCGGTGTAGACCTATCTATTTGAGTTTTTGAAGGGTACACAAACCAACTTCACATTTTTCTTATATCTAGATTATATATGTCTAAATTGCCTGTCGTTTTAATCAGGATGCAATAGCCGTGTTCACACACAAATAACATTTTATAATGATGTATTATTATTAATCTACAATGTGTACTTGAAGATAATTCTTAGTACCTCTCTTAAGAAAAAATGTGGCGAACGGAAGCATCTCATATTCGGAATACTGAATGTACATCAGTGTTGAAAAAGTGCCATAAAGTTAAAATTATGTAAAAACGGCATCATTAAACTAAGGAGTCTTATTTATTTATTTTTTTATTATTTACTTAACATATTACAAAGCAATTTACAATTATTGATTATAGTAGTACATTTGAAAACCACTGAGGTTTGTAAAAATGCAACAGATGCTACATCAAGCGAGGTTGATAAAAATTAACACCATATAGTAAAAATATATCATCATCATCATCAATCTATCGCAATCCACTGCTGGACATAGGCCTCTCCCATTGCACGCCACTTAGAAAATACATGCGTCATTATGTAGGTACTTTTAAAATAATTATATAATCTAAGCGTACAGGCGCAGAAAGTGAACTCCGAGTCAGGCAAGGAGAGGAAGAAGGATTACTTACAAACATGACTAGGTCATGTTTTCCAAAAAGAATTCCTTCAAATTATGTTTGATATTTTTTCGTTTAGGCATTTATTTATATCGGAGGGTAGTTTATTTATTAATCGCGGTACTAGATATCGTGTCGTTCTCTCACCGAACACGTTTACGGCGCGTGACGTTTGCAACCGGTTTAGTGAGACTGCTCGTGTACATACAGAATGTTCTACTTTATCACCCAAGTTATATTTAAATTTACTTTTCTTTCAACAAACTATATTTTTATTTTTATGTGAATGGGTAGAACTTTACAGTGTTTAAAAATACCCAGCTCATTGTAACTGTATTGTAAATTAAACTGTGGAGATGTTATTGTCTTTAATATTTTTAGTTGAAATCTATATATATTATTTATGTGAGTCTTGTAAGTTCACAAATAGCTGGTGAGTCCATACTGAATATGAGACTCGGCTAGGGAGTTATAGAGATACGACGATTTAAGATCTTAATGTTTACTAGAAAACATCTTAGCTTATCACATACTTTATCGAAATGGGGTTTGGGGCTATTAGATGTTTGTTGACTGGTTAAGGCTTTAAATACCTATAGTGACCTGATGTGTAATATTTTAGTTTTATTTGCATTAAGAACAAGCCTTGCATCATGACACCATTTGCAAAGGGTATAGAAATCTGACTGGAGGTAATCATATGCTCTATCTAGGTCCCTATCACTGACTAGTAGACACGTTTCATCGGCAAATTGATAACAGGTGCTCTGTTTAAAACAATTGCTCATATCATTCACATATGTCAAGAAATGAAAAGGTCCTACAACTCATCCTTGTGCCGTGCCCTCGGAAACAGTGACAGTATCACTGAATGCATCGCCGACCTTAACTGTATATGTGCGGTTAGAGAGATAATTTTGAAACCATTCTAGTACAGGTCCACGTATCCCACAAGTGTCAAATTTTTGTGGGAGCACGTCGTGATTAAGGGTATCGAAGGCACGGGAGTAGTCGATGAAGAGTGCTAGGGTATGCTTTCTTTCAGTCATAGACTCGTTAACTTGATCTGAAAACTTTGAGAGGACATCACTAGCACCCTTTCCCTGCTGAAAGCTAAATTGATTTTTGTATATGATTTCTTTATCTTTATAAAAATTATTCACCTGATTACAGATATACTCTCAACTATTTTGTGGATGGTGGAGAGAAGCGTAGTAGGCCGTCATCATCATCAACAGCCTTTAATAGTCCACTGCTGGACATAAGCCTCTCCTTAGAAAGGAGGTTTTGGCCTACTATGTAGGCCGATAGAGGTGGTAGGCCGATACTTGCTATATTCAGCCAACAACAAAAGCCCATTCAATAGAATTATACTAGTCAATAAAACAAAACAAGATTTTCAAAACGTTTGAAATTCAACTACCAAGCGATGTCTAGTATTGCTTAATAAGCCTTGATGACTTTATGAGAGCCTAATAAAATGTCATGACTTTGACCAAATTTAAAAAAATACAAAAAAAAAATCTTTTATTTAAACTTAGCCATTCGCTTTTGAAAGTTAAAAAAACATCCAACATGAATCACAAAAACAAAACGATATTTACACAATTACCATATTTCTTAAGTTTATTCATTGATCTCAACAAACCACAATATATGATGATGTTTAATACATTTATTAAGGGATTAATTTAGTTGATTTGACCACGACATATTTTATAAAAAAATGCAGACATGGTTTTAATTTACTTCCAATTTGTTACATAATTGTATGTTGCTCTTACATTTACCTCCCGCATTTCACTAGTTTGTATATTTATTAATAATATTTTTTAAACCAGATTGCTGATTTATTTTTTACTTAAACAATTATACAATTATTAATCATAATAACATGTGTGATATGAAAAACATAGAAACATATGTTGTAAACAGAAAAAAAAAACAAAGAAATAAAACAATGTAAACAGAAACATTGTTACAAACACAATTATTTGTTAATATCTTCTATATTGAAACAAGTGCACGAAGTCGTATAGATTGGTATATAAGTGTTAAATAGCCTCAGTAAGCACCCATACACAATTCATTTGTGATAATGTTAAGACTACTGTTTGTGTTAGTCTTCGTTACTTTCGTATTTTTTATAACACCATCAGAAGGTAGGATTCGATTTATTGACTATTTTCTATATTATACCTATATAATATTTTCTTGTAGTAATTAGCCACCATAATATCATTCTCACCACGATTGTACATTTCTATATTTTATTTGCCAATAATTTCAAATGTCAATATTATCACTAAATTATTGCAGGGTCTACAGAGTCTTCTTCATATAGCACGGCATGGGCTACCACTACCGCCGAGACCGGATTTCATCATTCATTTTCGACTACACCAAGTAAGTGAAAAAATATATATTTACCATTTATCCTCTTAAATCTATTTATTATAGTATATAGTTTATTACATACTTTAATGATTTTATAAAACTACAACAAATTAGCCCCTTGATAGTACCTACTGAATTTAGTTAAATTTTCTTCGTCAACGTATACTTACAAGTGTATTTATAATAGTGTATTTTGCATCTTACTTTATTATTTTTGAAAATATACTGGCACTTAGAATGCCTCGAATACTCAAACTTAAGCAAATATAATTATGACCACTTGCAATGTCATTAACGAAGGAAATTAGTTAAGGTATGCATTTATGCGTGTTACATCAGCAACAAGTACCTCTGAGGTTGAGTCTAGATAGCGATAACAATCTCAGAGGAACTTGTACTCCATAGTTATGTTTATCCCATAGAACCCATGGGATAAACTTAGGTATTTAGATTTTTTAAATTGAAAACTTCTTTAGGCGCGTTGGGCTTTTCTGAGCGACAAACAAAATAATGTATTTTTTGAGATGGGAAAAACCTTTGAACTCGCGATGCTGTTACCGATACTGACACGTCTGTATGTAAGTACCCATTATTGACACGAGAGTTGAGTTTGGCTTGTAATATATTGATATTAAATAAAATAAACAGTTATTGTGTAAATACGTGCAACATAGATATATATTTATATCAGAACTTTTCGCATCGAAAAAAACCAAAATAAAAACCTGTTAAACCTCTAAAAAATAAAAACTGTTATTGTCTAAAAAAATATATAATTTTCAAGTTTTCACTTCTGTTGGCACTCCAGCAGACTTAAAAAGTTATCCTAAGGATATACTGTATTTTACTTGTTTAATTCTAATGAATATTTCTGAAAATATTTAATATTTAAAATAATTTACATTAAAGCATATAATATAAAATTAAAACATTTTAGATATTTAACATTCACACCTACCATTTTAATTATTTAAAATCTGAGTGCCAAAATATACTCAACCCAAAAAAAAAAACAAATTCAAAAATAACTACTTAATATCAGTTAGAATACCTTAGCTTGTAAAGTACCTGAAAAGCATATTATAATAAGCTGTCTGTGTTTGGTGTATTTTACGTTATGAGCTTAAGTAAAATAAAAGTAGAAAAGATGAACTTATAGTCAGGTAATTCCAGTGATACATCTTTTCTTTCTTTCTTTTTTATTCTTTTTTAAAAAGACAACCCGCATTATGCATATATCCACCCAGACTACTAGACTAGACCAGACTATATATATATACGCCCAGACTCATAACAACACTTTGTGGATCACACAAAGTGTCGTCCCATGTGGGGTTCTAACCCAAAACACTCAGCGTAGTAGGAAGCAGCGTGGAAAGTACAGCCTTATTTGTGTTATATTATTTAACAATAGTGTTAGAGCGTTATATTTGAATTGAAACATAAATACAAAAATACACTTAGTTTTATGTTGTACTAGCTTTTGCCCGTGGCTCCGCCCGCGTGGATGTCGATTATCGCGGTAAAAAGCCTATGTTACTCACTGATAATGTATCTTTCCATTGGTGAAATAATTATTAAAATCATTTTAGTGGTTTAGGCGTAAAATCGTAACAAACCAACTCACTTTCACAATTATAATTTAAGTATGTATACAAATTTAGTTGAATTTATATTATGTATTTACACCAGACGTAAAGTTTAGTTAGTTCACGGAAATTCCATAAATAAATGTGAACGTAAAAAAAATATTGTTTTTTCAAACATGTTATCTTTTTCGTTTTATTTCTTTAGTTGTTTTACAGTTATGTAATTTAATATACAGGAATTTTATAGGTAGATTTTACACTGCGTACTTGTCTGTGGATGATATCAACACTTGGATTTTTAAATAGTGGGGAATTGAAAAAAACTGTGAATTAAAAACGCAATTAGATAGATTGTAATGAGATGATTGAAATGAGATTTTTGTCAGTTTCATGTTTTACAGATACATAGAATATTTTTCAGACCTATGTGACCTTATAAAATATGAGGAATAATTTAATGCCTTTGTTTAATAGTAATGTTTATTTTACACATCTCACAGATGCCTGTCCCATTCTTAACTGTGCAGAGCCTAACCAGATCATAAACATAAGGATATATTTCTAAATACATACATATTGTAAACATACATATTGTAAACTACAACCCGACAATAATTATCGTATTTATCGCGTTATTATTTATTATGGATGGGAATAGAACTTCCGACCTTCGCTTAACAATCAGGATCACTAACCACCAATCCAATAAAGTTCATATTCATTTACTGCTGACAAATAAATTATACTAAAACGACGACCCACGTCGCGTCATTTTTTTAGTTAATCGATAAAAAAACGATTGTCACACATCATCATTTAGTTTTTAAGCATCGTAACTGATTAAAGTCACGAAGTTTCAACATAAATGATATATATATTATTATGAATACACATTTAATTTAAATATTAATTAATTAGTTTCCACCAAAAAATAAAATTACTCTTGTGGGATATGATACAACATTTTAGTATGTTTACGTAAGTAATTTTAAAACAAATATTAATATTGCAGAACATGTGTGTGGATCACATGAAATCTATTCAACTTGCATCAATAGCAATTGTGAACCAAGGACATGTGCCGAACTAGATAGTCCTATAGCATTTTGTCCAAAACTCGATGAGGCACACTGTATTAAGGGTTGTACCTGCGTACCTGGCTATGTTCGAGATGAAAATAACGTCTGCATACCCAAAAACAATTGTTGTAAGTATATATTTATGAGATATACTATACATGTATACTCGTAGTACACATTCGTCAGGTCATTAGAGCTAGTTAGCTGCGTAATTGTATTGTTAGAGCTTTTAGAAACGCTTCTGTCTTTCGATCTTCGGGGCAAGTTGTTTTTAATTTAAAAGTCACGTCATCACATCAACAGCCTTTAAGAGTCCACTGCTGGACATAGGCCTCTCCTTAGAAAAGAGGTTTAGGCCTACTATACCACGCTGGCCAGACGGGTTGGTATAGGTTTTGTTTCAAGTTTTCCTTCTCTTTGCAGTGCTGTTGCCCTGCTTAGTTTGCTCCCTTAGTTAGCTTACGACACCCACGGGATGAAAAGGGGTAGCGACCCTCCGTATTCTTAATCCGTCATCACACGGCTATCGAGCGAGAGAACTCCCACTCCGAAGAATTTCCTACCTGAAAATATATTTGTTTCTTGGGTTTAATTTCAAAATATAAGTGTCATTTATTTATACAGTAATCACATAGCGTAACAGTGGTGCACAAATTTGTGGTGGCTATAAGCTTCAGGAAAACTCTCAGCTGAGTTTAAAAATATAAAACCGGCTACGCGCAGTGTTAGTAGCTTGCTGTAGTTTATTAAATTGAGCAACTATTACCTTAACTAACAGACTTAACTGTGGTACTTTTTGTTTCAAACGGAAGCAATACGAATTCTTCTGGAATCCTTTCGACAATAAAAGTTACCAGCTTACATTTCAAAAAATAACAAAGGGACATTATGCAGAAAAATAGTTTGTATTTGAATATCTAGGCCCTATTCGAAGTCGGCTATTTTATCATTTGAGAAAATCATGTTTTCTGTATATTTTTTTAAAACTACATTAATGACAATATTTAGAGCTGTATTATGATGTGCTGTTCTTGCTTTAATCCTCCAGATCCTATTTGTGGTAAAAACGAAATATACTCAACCTGCAGTAATATTGGATGTGGCCCTAAAACTTGCGATCAACAAGGATATAAAATAGGTTGCGTAAAAATGGACCGCAAATATTGTAGAGGAGGTTGTATTTGCAAGGACGGGTATTTAAAAGATCAGAATGGAGAATGTATACCAAAATCGATGTGTCGTAAGTGTTAAATAAATATTTTAATATGATTAGATAAACAGAACAATATCTCTTTGATTGATTTCGTAAAATTTTAATACTAAAAATTTTTAATACTAAATTTAAACAGATTGCTTTTCATGTTCTAATATTGATACCCTTCTAAGAATCCTACTAGTGGCCAAGATATAAAGCAATTTGGTGATACATGTATGTGAATAGCCTGCATTATTATTTAAGTTTATTTTGAAAAATATTTCACCTCTCTGTTTCATAGCTGAGTGCGGAGGAGATCCAAATGCAATAAGTTGTGACAATGAGGATACTTGTAAATGCAGAGATGGATTTATATATGACGAAACCATTGGAAAATGTGTAGTTCCTGAAGAATGCCGTATGTATTATTTATTTATTTATTGATTTTGCTGACTTAGTACATATAATGTTATTGTGGATAACCAGAAATAATCACAGTTACTTTTTTAACAACAACTGTAACACTGTTTCCTGCTAAACAATATTTCTTAAATTTTGATCAGAAATGGAAAAACGAGTACCTTGTGTTAAATTTACATTATAACTTTCTGATCAAACATGGAGGAAAGGATCGTTGAGAGCAGATTTTGGAACGTGTCTTAAAGAGACTATTGTATTTTATATGAAACATATCATTATTTGTAAAAAAATAAAATTCTTTGTATCTTTGTATATTCTTATCTTTTCTAATCAGTGTTTTTTCTTTTCAAACACTCGTGACCACCGCATATAATGGCCAATTTATTTACTACACAACCTTCTTTTTCTTATGGTCGCCAAAATTAAGTTATGAAAATCGAAAGTCCTTTATATACCTATGCAGTCAACCATCGTCTGCGAAAAGCATATGAGCTTTATTGCAGAATCTGTGAAATTATGTTGTTAATTGCTCTAGGCCGGTAATGGGCTAGGCCTACACGGCTTCGGCTTTTGGGTAGAGATTTAAAAATATCGTTGAATTTTTAGTTAAGACATATCAGAATAGCTTTCTGCAGCGACTTAACCAATCGACGATACCATTACTGCGCCCAAACTTTTTCAGCGCCATTTGGAGGTGATCCGTATGCATTGTCATGTAGTCTAAATCACATGTTATTTTCAATAATGTAAGTTTACCTATAAGTAATATCTTTACCAACCGCAGTGATCTGTCGAAGATTTCTGCCGTTGCCATACAATTCTTAGATAATGGCTGGTGGAGAGGAGCCATAGTTTAAGTAACATGGTATGGCTAGTAGTTTGTAAAATTAAAAGTTACTCTGAAACGACAACTCTTCACCAAGACCAATCGCTTCCAATCCGATTTTCTTACAATAATTTGTAAAAAGTTGTCAAATTTGCTTTACAAGAGCATAGGACGGAAACCCATGCTTTGGCACAAATGGACCGGCCCCGCTGTGTGTACTACTACTACTACGTATGTAACTAACCAACGGCCACGGCAGAAAACGAGTGTTAAGCAGATCTTTCATTGCTTTTAACTGACGGAGTGAGGTTACTGGAGCTCCTAAACCCCATTTCACCAAACCTGGATGATTCGACAGGCGGTCGTTAATTCTAAAGGTCCTGATCAGGATACTGGGACAAACTATTCAAATGATTGCATTATCATCGGTCCTTAATAAGGGTATAATGGTTAAATTTAATTTGACGTTTTGAAGTAGGTCAAAAACACGTTCGAAGATTGCGTTCCATACATTTGTACATACCAAGCTAATAAAAGCGTGTTAAAATGAATTAAAATTATTCTTAGATAAGGAATTTAGAGATTGACAATTGTAAATAATATTATTTTATTTTGTGGAACGGACTGCTATTCCCAAGGTCGCGGGTTCGATTCCCGCTCAAGTCAAACATTTGATGTTTGATTTGGTCTGGGTGTTTTTATGTATAATATGTATGTATTTACAAAAAAAAAGTATATATGTATTTATATCAGTTGTCTAGTACCCATAGTACAAGCTCTGCTTAGTTTGGGACTAGATGGCGTTGTGTGTATGTGGTAGAATATTATACATATATATATAATTATTAACTAAAAAAATCCATGAATAAAGGGAAGAAGGATGCGTTTATCGAGAAAAATATTTAAGAGTAGATAACGGCAGTTGCATCCCACAGGATCGATGTAGTCAATTTTTTTTTTTGATAAATTTATTCAAGACTGCTCTACGAATTTCACTATTTACTTTATTTATGGATTTGTTAGATATAAAATGTGAACAATGTTAAAAACTATGACAACGGAACCTACTAAATAAACTTAGTGAGTACTTAGGTAAATATTCAGTTAAATAACAATCGTTTTTATTAATATTACAGAACCACATTGCCCCGTCGGCGAAATATATGAAGAATGCCCAGATAATTCATGCACACCGCAAACATGTTCACAACTTGGATTTGCCATGCAATGTCCTGTGTCTTTAGGAGCTTCTGGCTCTAAATGTCTTGGTAAACCCAGGTGCATCTGTGCCAATGGTAATGTAAGAGATCACAATGGGAAGTGTATCCCTCCACATCAGTGCCGTAAGTACGAGTATTTTCAAAGTTTACAGTTTATGAAGCGACTCATGTAAATTAAAAATGAATTAGGCTTGTCCATAACTTTCCGTGTATTTACTAAGAACATTTTCTAAAAGTTTTCATGTAGTCGAGTTGGCAATACAAATACAGATGTCATTATGACGCGTTGGCATACATCATTGGTATGCCACAGCGTAAGTCATATCGTAGCTATTACATGTGGTCATTGGACTCAGTGATCACCAGTTCCACTTATTTCGTATAATTCTACATTCTATCAGATAAGGACACAACTATCCAAAGAGTATATTTTTACCAATGTCTTTTGTAGTCTAAATGTACACAACACGTCTTTTTATGGAATAGGGGACAAATGAGTCACCGGTGACATTATCCAAGTTATCACTTGGATAATTGGTACTTCAGAGGGGGAAGCTGGTGCTGGGTTGCCCTGCATAGAAATGAAATCAGTATTTCATATGCGGCCGGAATTGCGCCTCATGTAGTTGGAGGCGGTGGGCCGGCAAGAAATACTGCCTAGATCTGTTCAGCACACCAAGCTTCTTCGCTAATTTGACCTTACCCTTTAAGTGACCCCGAAACTGGACTTCGCTGGATATTTCGATGCCTAGGATTCCGATAGTGACCAAAGCAGTTAAGGAGGTGCTCTCAAATTGAGGTGATACCACAAATGATAACGACCTTACTGTCTTCTGTGTCTTCTTCCTGTTCTGCAAGGAAACTGGTGACTCAGTTACACAATTTCTCGGGAAAGGCATAGGAAGGAAATTTCGAGAGGAGCGTCTTATGCCAGACCTGATCGAAGGCCTTTGCTATACTTAAGCTAACCGCACACGATCGAGAACAAGGTTGAGGCCCCTTGGTCTCGATCGTCTGTGCCCATCGGTGTGTTAGATAGACAAGAAGATCATCAGCTGAACGACCCCGAGGAAAACCATATTTTCGGTCATTGAGTAGCTGGTAATTTTTAAGTACCTTAAGTATTCTCTACTTCAGAGGGGTTATGGCTATAGGCCTGTAGTTGGACGGATCAGAGCGGTCACCTTTTTAGGGATCGGGTGCACAAGCGCTACCTTCGCTCGGGTCGACGACGAGGTCGGGATGACGCTTAATCAATATCAGAGAACACGTCTTCAACACTTTAGGAGGATTCCATCGGCCCACTTGACTTATGAATATCGAGAGAAAAGAGTGCCTTACGCACTGATTTTTGGGTAAACCGGATTTCTGGCATACAGCTCTGGCACCGCGGTATGGTCGGCGGTACGTTTCTACGGTCATTTAAAGTGAAGTTAGGTGCTAAAAGTTCACCTAGGAGATTAACTTTCTCCATTACCTCATGAAGCAACGATTTATCTCCCATCTGCAGGAGTGGAAGGGATTGACTACAGAATTTCCCCTTGGCAAGAGACCAGAATGCACGAGTTCCAGAATGAAGTCTCACCAGTCTCTTACTCCGTCTATGTGCTCCGATTTCGCCCTAACAATGGCTCTTTTGAGCGACTTGTAGGCAAAGTAGTATTGTTTTTTAACGTGCTGGTATTTACATCACCTACCGTTGCTGCATTTGCTCATGTTTGATAATATTCTTGGGATGGGATCTGCTGCAGCACAGAATCTGTAGCCATTTAGACGTCCATCAGTCGGCCAGTTACGGTACCACTGCTATGGGACTTGTAGAGACATGCGACAGTGACGACCATCCCTGCGTCTATACGGGGGGGATGGTTGACGCTATCTACATGGAGCCACAAGATGGAGAGGTCCCGTCCTACAAAATAGTGAAGGAGGCGAGAACTGATATTATCTCTAACGTATACTCCAGCCCTAGCAACAAAGGAGTGTTCTAGATTATAGCCAAGGTAGGAGAGGTAAGATGTGCACGGTGGAAATAATATCTGCGTCCGGTTAAATAACGCTAGGTCGGCTTTACTGTCTCGAGGTGGCGATGGACATCGTTAAGGTTCTAGTGTAGGTCCCCTGATATTGCAGAAGTCCACGTCAAGTGTGGTGAGGGGTGACCTGCTCTTGCCACTGCTTTATTTATAGCGTAGTTGTTGATTTACATAAATTGCGTGCGCCCCCAGAATACGCGAGCAGCCTAGAGACCTATGCCCAGATTAATGGTGTTCTGAGCGTGAACGTTCAGAAGGGCATTCTCCAACGCTAGCGCAGCTGGTGCCCCCTTCGGGTAGACGTAGGTGTTCAACTATCATTAGAAAAGAGTGGTGGGAGGTGGGGGTTGGGTTCAGGAAACCTCACTCACTCGGCCCATTTAGCCATGAAAATAGCATGCTAATTTAACAAATGATTATAACTTAGTAGGTACCCTTTTTTTTCTGTGCGGAAATCCCCTCGGATACCACCCACCGGAGGCTATGTTGGACTTGAACTGACAAAAAACCGCACGCCATCTCGGGTACCAGTAGCAAGGGAACCAGGTGTACCCTAGAAAATAAAACTCTGGTGCCCCGACGTACCCGGGCCCTCTGCGGCGGGTAGGTCATCTACCTCTCACAGGTCCCTCCTGTGTGGGAACCCCCATGTTCCCTTTCTGCTCCCGAAAGGGCGAGCGCGTTTTGGAGCAATACAATATTATTATTATTGTCTTTACTCAGATCAACCATGTATCAATTATATTGAGCTCTTGTTTCATTTCTTATTCTTACGATTCCTTATTTGTAAGAAATTCCTTAGTGGAATAAAAATTGTTTTGCATAACAATGCCACCAACGTAGTTTTATTATAAACTTATTTAAGAGTAATGTCTTACTCGTACATTACCCTTAAATTAGTATTTACTTTACATAACTTAAAATTTGTCAAACTGTTTTAGCATCATGTGGCGGAGATCCCAATGCTACACCAGGTTGTGGAGTGAACTGTGGCAAAAAATGCTCAGATTATAAAAAAAAGAACCCCATGTGTCTTTTGATTTGCTATGTTAATAGTTGCGATTGCAAGAAGGGATACGTATACGACGACAATTTGAATAAATGTGTGCTGCCTTCTCAATGCAGTAAGTATAATAAACTAAATTAAGAAAGAAGAAATTAGAAAATAAAGAAAATCCTTTTATTTTACACGTTGCAAAGGGTACTCTCTAAACCCATTCCTGGGTCGCAATTCCCAGGCGCTGTCAAAGTCGCATGTGTTGAGCCCATCTATCACGCGATGGACCCGGCACCCGCATGAATCCATGGAACGCTAAGAAATAGGTCTCTTATACTTGGTTACTCTTTTTGAAACTGACATTCTCGCTTAGACTATTTTTTCTCAATTTGTCATGTCAGTACAATACTACCTAGTATTTTTTCTTTTTTTTTTAACTTTATATTGATTAATCAAGCACGGCGTGACCTATAATTTTGTATTCTCTTTGTTTTCCTCTGGATCTTATTTATATCATTTTTTTTAATAAAATAGAAAATGCATACATTTTTTAAATTAATGCCAAGTTACTTTTTCAGCACCATCTTGTGGCGTTAATGAAGTCTATGATACATGTGCCAACGGTAAGTGTCGGAAATGGAAATGCTCACAGCCGCCACTTTGCAAAGACCCTGAAAAGTGTGAAGGAGGATGCGTTTGTCGAGATAAATATACTAGAGCAGATAACGGCACTTGCATCCCGGAGAATCAATGTAGTCAGTATTTTCTTTTATAATTTTTTGATTTTAACGATTTAGTTTAAATATATATTTGTTTTGTATAAAATATGACATTACATAGTCTATGACATCATTCATATTTTATACAAACCTACAAAACACAAAACAAACAACAACAAAACCTACTTAATAAGTTTGGCTAACGTTAAGGTGAAAATTTATTGAGGTAACAATCGTTCAATATTAATGTTACAGAACCACAATGTCCCGCTGGCGAAATATATGAAAAATGCCCAGATAGTTCATGTAAACCGCTAACATGTTCACAACTTGGATTCCCCATGCAATGTCCCGCGTCTTTAGAAGCTTCCGGCTCTAAATGTCTTGGCAAACCCAGGTGCATCTGTGCCAATGGTAATGTAAGAGATGACAATGGAAAGTGTATACCTAAACAACAGTGCCGTGAGTATTCTCAAACTTAATTTACAGTGTATGAGTATTAGGCCTATTCTTAACTTCCCTAGTGTTAACTATATTATAATAATTGTGTGCTGCCTTCTGAATCCAGTAAGTATTTAAACTGAATTCACTTATACTTTCTTAAAAAAATCTAAATAAAGGATTATACACATAAATAGTTGGTATTCAAACAGTGGAATTATTTCGAAGCTAAAAATTGTGTAAAATAAAGAATACCATAAATTTTAGCACCCACATGTGGTTTGAACGAAGTGTTTGATACATGCGCTAACCGAGGCTGTCGTAGATGGAACTGTTCACAATCAAAAGTCTGTAAATATCCTAAAAGATGCCAAGCAGGATGTTCTTGTCGAGATGGATACTCCCGAAATGAAAATGGAGTTTGCATTCCGGAGAAGCAATGTCCAGGTACTTAATATATCTCATTTATCAAGTCTTAATATTGTTAGATGTATGTGAATGACCTATTAGTAAGAAGAATGTTCAGTATTATTTTGAATTTAAAGAAAGGATTAAAAAGAGGCTGCCAAAAAAACTGTGTGAAGTAAACTCCTTTTTTAAAAAGCAGTTTATCTGAGACTGACAGTTGATACTTCTATTGCTGAACTAATCAGCTATTGTTATATATATTAACTAACTATTATGATTAAAATATTTAAAAAAAACAAATTTTATTTCTAGGACTTTGCAGTAAACCTCACGAATACTACGATGATTGTCCACAAACTTGCTTACCACAAACTTGCGAAAACATTGGAAAAGTACATAGTTGTCCGGCGAAACTTAAAACTTCAAAATGTAAAGGAAAGTGTATGTGTGAGAAAGGGTATTACAGAAATTTAATTGGTGAATGCATAAGCGAAGAAGATTGTAGTAAGTTTTACGTTTAATAAAATACTTTATTTGTAACACAATAGTAATAAAGGTGGTTGAGACACATGTATCAGAATGGGTGTAAAACAAAAAGTCAAAACAAGTACATAATGATTTGTAGTGAGATTACAAGTAGGAGTTGACTAAGACAAATATACCTTAATTAAATTAGTGAAAAGAAAAGTGGTGGAAGGTACTTGAAAAGGTTTCTTGCCTGAAAAATTAAATAATAATGAAACAAGCTCATGTCATTACCTACCCTTATTACATTACCTACCCTGAAATGATAAAAAGCATCTGATTGGGTATGAATGTATGTTTGAAATAAACAAATTTTTTTTTCTAGAAAAGTGTCGTGGCCCCCACGAATATTTTTCATGTGGCGGATTTTGTGACAACGTTTGCGCCACATTACATAAATATAATCAAACTACCTGTCCTTTTATCAATATAACATGTAACCGCAAGTGTTACTGTGAAAGGGGATACGCCAGAAATAAGAACAATATTTGCATACCTATACAAAAATGTCCAGGTAATACTTTAAACAAATATATAGTATTTAATTAAATACAGCGATTTTGGACCGCACATATTTCAAGAGAATTTTTTTATTTCTACATTTTATTTTTTGATTTGATACAATTTACAAAATAGGTTTAATGTGCTAAAACCAAACCTCTCAAGACTCACAGAAAACGCTTATTTGTGAAACAGCCTTATCGCAAACTTCGTCTTGTCATAAAACCACTCACGACACTGTGTGGTAGTCACAGAATGACCACATAGTGAAATGCTTGTCCTTAAGAAAAGCCAATTGACATCATATTGTTTAAATACTGTAAAAAGTATTTAATCACTTTTTATATTTCAGAACAGCAATGTGGACCTAACGAAAGATATGAAGAGTGTCCAGGTGCACTTTGCTCTCCTCAAAAGTGCTCACAGATCGGTTTCCCAATTTATTGTAAGACGTCTACGTCGGTAGCAACCCCCCATTCGGCTTGTCCCGGAAAGCCCGGTTGTGTTTGTGATAATGGTTATGTAAGAGATAAAAATGGAGAATGTATACCACCGGAAAAATGTCGTAAGTTACATTATTCCAACTTGTTTCCTTGCTTATAATATTGTCAACGCGAAATAATGTGCAGTTTTTACGTTTTCACTCCCCATTTATTGAACATGAGACTTGACATACTTTTCGTCAAATGTAAAGAAAGGAATGAATCTTAGAATTTTATTTACATTCGAATTCGTTTTATGTATATCTAAATATTTGTCCTTATTGTTTCTATATGTATTATTTTATTTAGTTTTTACCCTGACTTCTGTAGTTGTTTCTACTTTGAAAAGTAACTAAAATTTCTACACTGTATCCATATTACAGCGTCCTGTGGGGGCGATCCAAATGCAGTAATCGGTTGCGGGAATCACTGCGGCAGAAGATGCTCCGACCACAAGCACAATAATAGAGTGTGTCCTTTATATTGTATGTTCAATAGTTGCATGTGCAGAGACGGTTTTGTGTACGATGATAACTTGAAGAAATGTGTCCGACCTAAAGACTGTAGTAAGGATTTATCTCAAGTACAAAACTGTAAACAATCAGTAAGATTTAAGATATATTCTAACGCGTAACTTATTTATTTTAGCACCAACCTGCGGTATTAATGAAGTTTACGATACATGCGCTAATAGTGGTTGCCGTAGATGGAATTGCTCCAAGTCCATACTTTGTATAGACCCTATGAAATGTAAAGCGGGGTGTTCTTGTAAGAAAGGATTCTCCCGTGACAGGAATGGTACTTGTATTCCAGAGGATAAATGTCCAGGTACTAATATTTTAACATCTATATTTACTAACATTTGAACCAACAAACCAAAAAAAATACTCAATTTATTTTAGTAATTACCATTGTGACTACAACAAAATCTATCTATTACACATCTAAGCAATTTGAGTATTCATAAACCTGGTTCGCTAGGACAATTAAAAACAGAAATAACTTCTTCTTATATGTGATTGTGTTATTGAATAAGGTCACGTTATTCTATATAATAAAAAAAACAGGTTGTCTAGGAGAACGTTGTTGCGAGACTTACAGTTTATATATGTCTAAGTGCTTTTGCATAATAAAATATTACACGCTGAACATGTGCCAAAACTCCACTGTTTGAGTTTCAATCAATAGACGTGTATATTATTATATTACGCTCAAATCAAAGATCGAAATCGTTCAATGGGCAGAAAGTCAGCTTGTCATACATTATGGTCACTAAAACTGTGGATAGACTGACTGCACGGATAGCGTAGTGGTTTAAGCGGTCACCACGCCGCTTATATACGCTAAGTGTGGTGGGTTCGATCCCCGCATGGGACGATACTTCGTGTGATCCACAAATTGTTGTTCTGAGTCTGTTCGTTCTTTGTGTTCATTTATGTATGTTTGTGAAGTCCCCTGCGAGACAGGATAAAGCAGGAGCTGTCTTTCAAAAAAACCGGTTAGGTACGAGTCGAACCCATGTGCCGAGGGTTCCGTACCTACCCAGATTTTACGTAGATTTTTGCTAAAATTTGTAAGTACCAAAATTTATGTTAATTTTCAACTTTTTAAATTATTTGAAATTATTCCTTTATTTGTGATGTAAGATGTTTCTTTTTGCCAAATTTCGTGATTCTAGGTCAACGGGAACTACTATATAGGTTTTCGACCCAAAACCTATAGGGTACTTCCGGTTGACCTAGAATTATCAATTATGGTTAAAAGTAAGGTCTTCCAGAACAAGTAAAGAGAAAATTCTGAAAAATAAAAAAAAGTTGAAAATAATGTAAATTTTGGTACTTACAAGTTTTCGCGAAAATCGAAATTGCCCATATATTATTATGTCAACATACAACATACTCAGGGTCAACATACTCAGAACCTTGATTTTTATACACCTAATAGGGACCATAGACCTCAGTATCTGGCATAAATTTCAACTTGCTAGGTCTATCCGTTCCTGAGAAAATCAGTGGTGACACACGGACAGACGGACAGGCGGACAGACGGACAAGAAAGTGATCTTATAAGGGTTCCTTTTTTACCTTTTGAGGTACGGAACCCTAAAAAAGAAGAAAAAAAAACAAGAAGATGGTGGTAGAACATCCATATGTCGAAAATTATCTTGTGGGTCTCATAAAAATACTCACGGCGTGTTTTGGCAGTCACAGAAAGAAAATATAGCGAAATTCGTGTTGAGGCTATCACGTGATACGACCACAACCCATTTAGGCAATTAAGAAAAGACAAAAATAAAAGATCATATTGTTTACATTTCTAAACAAAGTATTTAATCACCTTTTACATTCCAGAACCGAAATGTGGACCTAACGAAAGATATGAACAGTGCCCAGATGTACTTTGCTTCCCGCAAAAGTGCTCACAGCTCGGCTTCCCGATAGATTGTAAGACGTCTACGTCGCTAGCAGCCCCCAATTCATCTTGTCCTGGAAAGCCCGGTTGTGTTTGTGATAATGGTTACGTAAGAGACAGAACTGGAAAATGTATACCACCGGAAAAATGTCGTAAGTTACATTAATCCAACTTGTTTTCTTGCTTATAATATTGTCAACGCGAAATAAAGTGCAGTTTTTACGCTTTCACTCCTCATCTATTGAACATGAGACTTGATATACTCTTCGTCAAATGTAAAGAAAGGAATGAATCTAAATTCCTATTGAGTTTCGTAACATTCGAATTCGTTCATTTGTTGACTTTTATATATATCTAAATATTTGTCCTTATTGTTTCTGTATGTATTGTTTTATTTAGTTTTTACCCCGACTGCTGTAGTTGTTTCTACTTTGATAAGTAACTAAAATTTCTATACTGTATCCATATTCCAGCGTCATGTGGTGGCGATCCAAATGCAGTAACCGGTTGCGGGAATCACTGCGGCAGACGATGCTCCGACCACAAGGACAATAATAGAGTGTGTCCTTTATACTGTATGCTCAATGGTTGCAAGTGCAGAGACGGTTTTGTGTACGATGATAACTTGGGGAAATGTGTCCGACCTAAAGACTGTAGTAAGGATTTATCTCAAGTACAAAAATGTAAACAATCAGTAAGATTTAAGATATATTCTAACGCGTAACTTATTTATTTTAGCACCAACCTGCGGTATTAATGAAGTTTACGATACATGCGCTAATAGTGGTTGCCGTAGATGGAATTGCTCCGAGTCCATACTTTGTATAGACCATATGAAATGTAAAGCGGGGTGTTCTTGTAAAAAAGGCTTCTCCCGTGACAGGAATGGAACTTGTATTCCAGAGGATAAATGTCCAGGTACTAACATTATAACATCAATATTTACGTAACTTATGAACCGAAGAAACAAAAAAAAACGTAATTCATATTAGTAATTACCATTGTGGCTACAACAAAATCTATGTATTTAAAATCTAAGCAGTTTGAGTATGCATAAACCTGGTTCGCTAGCGCTTTGTGAAATTAGGACAATTAAAATCAGAAATAACTTCTTCTTATATGTGATTGTGTTAACGAATAAGGTCACGTTATTCTACATAATAAAGAAATCAGGTTATCTAGGAGAACGTTGTTGAGAGACTAACATTTTCTATATGTGCAAGTTTTGTTTTGTATAATCAAATATTACAGAAAAAAAATAACACGCTGAACATGTGCCGAAACTCCACTGTTTAAGTTTCATTCAATGGAAAGTGCATATAATAATAAATATATAATATCAAACTCAAATCAGAGATCGAAACCGCTCACTGGGCAAAAAGTCAGCTTGCCAGACATTATGGTCACTAAAACTGATGGTGGAAAAACATCCATATGGCGAAAATTATCTTATGGGTCTCATAAAAATACTCACGACGTGTTTTGGCAGTCACAGAATGAAAATATAGCGAAATTCGTGTTGTGGCTATCATGTGATACGACCACAACGCATTTAGGCAATTAAGAAAAGACGAAAATAAAAGATCATATTGTTTACATTTCTAAAAAAGTATTTAATCACCTTTTACATTCCAGAACCGAAATGTGGACCCAACGAAAGATATGAACAGTGCCCAAATACACTTTGCTTTCCTCAAAAGTGCTCACAGATCGGCTTTCCGATAGATTGTGAGACGTCTACGTCGCTAGCAGCCCTCAATTCTTCTTGTCCCGGCAAGCCCGGTTGTGTTTGTGATAAGGATTACGTAAGAGACAAAAATGGGAAATGCATACCACCGGAAGAATGTCGTAAGTTACATAAATTGCAACTTGGTTCATAATTTTTCAGTAATTTTTCAAACGTAGTAAACTAAAAATATTTCAAATATCGTCTCGTGCCTCGTATAATATAGCCTCGTGCGGGGGAGATCCAAATGCGGTAAAGGGCTGTGGTGTTAACTGTGGGAGGCTTTGTTCTAACTATGACAAGGGACCAGTTCCTTGCATAAAGATTTGTAAAGTTAATAGCTGCGATTGCAAACACGGTTTTGTATTAGACGAAAACACTAGAAAGTGCGTGAACCCTCAGGATTGTAGTAAGTATTTCAATGATCATACTATTCAACATTAAGTATTCTAAACTTTAAAGCATCTACCAATTTGAATCATATTTTAATATACATATAACTAATATTCTTAAAGCACCTACATGCGGTAAAAATGAAGTATACTCGGAATGTATCAATGGCGGATGTGAACCCAAAAATTGTTCTCAACTTGGTAAACAGGTGCCTTGTGTAAAAATGAAGCCCGAAAAATGTGTAAAAGGATGCCTGTGTAAAGAAAAATATTTACGAGCTAGTAATGGTACTTGTATTCCAGAGGACCAATGCATAAGTAAGTGTATAAACATCAAAAAATGAATTTCAAGCTATACGAGTTACAACTTAAGATAATAGAAATATTTCATGTTACGAATTATAATGAATGAAACTTATGTCATAACCCAAATTAATAACGACTTTATTTCAAATTAAAATAAATTATACTTATATTTTTGTCTTACAGAAAGATGTACCAAACCTCATGAATACTACGAAAGATGTGTTCGATCTTGTTCACCACAAACTTGCGATAGCATTGGACGTAGATATTACTGTCCGCGCCAGCGTAAACCATGCAGAGGTGCCTGTCGTTGTGAGAAAGGGTATTATAGAAATAAAATTGGTGAATGTATTTCCGCAAAAGATTGCAGTGAGTATTTACTTTCTATAATTTGAGAAAAGCGAAATGGAACATAGCTTCTTTTGGTTTCCTATAACCCCCCTTAAAAACTAAGCAATGAAATTACGATTTTATAGAAAATTAAACTCTCCTATAATATAATAATGTTACTTCCATTATAAGATAAACAATTTTAATGGAAATATGAAATTTATAGAAAAATGCACTGGACCTCACGAGTACTTTTCATGCGGTAAAGAATGTGACAACGTTTGTGCTACATTGCACAAACAAAACCAAACTCATTGCCCTTTTATCAACAAAACTTGCAAACGTAAGTGCTACTGTGAAAAGGGTTACGCCAGAAATGACAAGAACATTTGTGTCCCTATAGAACAATGCCAAGGTAAAAACTTCATTGCACATATATTATAATACATGTCGATTCGTAGAGTATTTAAAAAGCTTTTATAACTTTGTAGGTAAACTAGCACGCAGCTTTGGTTTACTTTGCGGTTTATTGCGGTTTGCTTTAGTAAATTGTTGGGATTTATCTTTCACTATTGTTGTATTCCTTCTGATTAGCGAGTCGAGGTTGAGAGGTAGTTTTTCCCACATTAACTAATTTTTTACCCAACTCCAAGGAAGTGTTATTTTTTTAGCTCCTATCTTGTATGTTTGTTTGTACATTTCTTAATTACATCGTATCTTCCAAATGGCTGGATTGCTTTCGACAGTAAGGTTTTTTTAAAGAAAAGAAACAAAAAGTCAATTTATTTGGGCATACTAGGTTAATAAAAAATTCAAACGAGTCGGACTCGCCTTACGAGAGTTCTGTACAAATTTTTAGGCACATATAAATACTTTATTTCCTTTACGTGTGGAAACCCCCTCGGGCCGTCACCTCACCGGGGTTTACGGTAGGGTGGTGTGTCGGAATCGAACCGACTAAAATCACACGGTGTGACATTCTGCGCGTGTAATAGGAGGGATCCGGGCACTACTGTTATTAAGACATCCGGACCCCTCTTAGCACCTGACCGGAACGGCGCGGGCACCACCTACGGGCAAATTCTCTATTTATACACACAGTTTTCACAGAAGATGCGACCGCGGTAAAACATCTGTCACTACCAGCCATGGAGCGTATGACGGCCGGCAGCGAGAGGTCCCCTCCGATGACTGCAATGAGGACCCGGCGCTGTGACACCCAAGTCGGGCAAATTGCCAGCGTGTGCTGAGTAGAGTCCTCACTGCAATTGCAGTAGTGTCAGGCGGGACTTAATTCCCTCCTAGTGACTTCCCGAACCAGCCGTGCCCGGAAAGGCTGCGTCAGTCGGAAGGAAAGGGTCCCATGCTGCCGCTCGACGATAACCGGCTGAAGTGCCTCCACGGCGGCAAAGCCAGCATGTGGAAACTCCAGCCGGGACGACCAACGAGCCATCGTGGCTCGGCGAGCGGCCTTACGCCACTCGCGTACCTCTTCGGGCGGGGCCGACTGTGACTACCCGGAAATCAGCCGTCCACCGATATACTTCGGCGAGCACTTCCGCCTCCAAATACCACGGGGGAGTTCCGGCCGGCCAATTTAAAAATTGTATATTATAGAACAACCACAGAAGTAACAAGCATCAGTTCAGTTGTCTAGTACCCGTAGTACAAGTTCTGCTTAGTTTGGGACTAGATGGCGTTGTGTGAATGTGGTAGAATATATATAAATGTATATATATATATATTGTGACTTTATTGTATGTGCTGCCATTCCCTTCACGTGATATCTGACCTCCGCTCTATCCAACAACGTTAAGTTGTACTTAACAAAGAAAAATTTCACATTTCCAGAACCTGTTTGTGGTGAAAACGAAAAGTATGAAGACAATCCGTCACTTCTATGCGGGCCGTTTAAGTGTTCAGACTTAGGCCGTCCACTTAACGACACATCCGTTAAAAACCACAATCACAACTATAAGCCTGCGTGCATCTGCAAAGAAGGTTACTTGAGGGATGATCATGGGCTTTGTGTGCCTAAGTCTCAATGCCGTAAGTATCACATAATGTAATACTTCTTCCTGTACCTTTAAATTTATATTGGTTTTTAAACGCCTTTATATAACGTTGTCTGCAATTAAGAACATATTTTTTCCATATACGGGAAATGATATTCCTTAATTTCATCAAGTTTCCGAAACGTCTCTTCCGTTGTTACATTGTAAATACTTTTTCTGTTATCGAATTTTGCAAAATCAATACTATTGCTAGAACTTTTACTACTGCTACTTTCATTTTTCTCAACTGCAACTTCTCATGGACCTTATCGAACGATATCAGTTGCGGCTTGAATTGCGTTAAAAACTGTTTTTGACTGATGAGGTTAGTTGTATGGTAAAATGCGTTAAATATAAAAATTGTACCGCGGGCTATAGATATGAAATGACAATAAAAAGAACTGAAAATCAATTCCGTCTAGAGCAATCGTCATTTGTCAGATTTCATTTACTCAGAGAAGTTCTATCCTATAATGTAATGGTTCTTCCTGTATTCCTTAATTTCATCTAGTATCCAAAACATCTCTTTCGTAACGTTGTAAATAGTTTATATGTTATTGAACTTGTAATCTTTTGTTTGCAATATCAATACTATATCTAGAAATACTTATTTCTTTTTTCTCAATTTCACCTTCTAATTGACATTATCGAACGAAGCAGTTACGTCGTGAATTCCGGTAAAACCGTTGTTGACCTATGAGATAAGTTAGTGTATATTAAAATACGTTAAATATAAAAATTATACAATGGGCTGCAGATACTAAACCACAATAAACAGAACTGCAAAACAAAACCATCTGGAGCCACCTTGATTATTTAGATTTCATTTACGAGTACTCATAGAAGTTACTAGTCATGGCCTGCGATTTCACTCGCGTGATTATATCTTGTTTCATGTTTCTAGCTTTGAAAATTAGGAATTTCCATTCAACTGTTCATCCCTTAAATTAAGTTCTACAGGCTGAAATTTTCAAAAATCCTTTCACAGTTTGTGTTAAAAATCATCAGTTACAAAAAATTTAAGTTAGTAACCCAAGCGGTTTAGCTCTGCTTTAATGAATCAGTCAATCAGCCAGGATAAGTTATTTTATATGTATAGATAAGAACATTTAATATTAAATTTAATGTTTTTTTCTTAAACTATATTTACGAAGTTTTATATAAAATCTCAAGCCTCTTCCTGCGAAAAGTAGTCTGTATGTAAACTTACAACCCCTAATTTACCCCCTTAGGTGTCATTTTCGCGAACCGGGATACGTCTGTTCGTTTATATGTAATTAGTAGTAGATATACGAAATTTCGTGTTGCAATTTAACATTCATTATACTTAACAAAGAAACATTACACATTTTCAGCACCTGTTTGTGGTAAAAACGAAAAGTATGAAGACAATCCGTCAATTCTATACGGACCGCTCAAGTGTTCAGACTTAGGCCGTCCAGTCGACGACACATCCGTTAAAAAGCACAATCACAACTATAAGCCCGCGTGCATCTGCAAAGAAGGTTACTTGAGAGATGATCATGGGCTTTGTGTGCCTAAGTCTCAATGCCGTAAGTATCCTATAATATAAAGCTTCTTCCTGTTCCTTTAACTTTATATTGGTTTTTAAACGCCTTTACATTGCGTTGTCTGCAATTATGAACATAGTTTTTTTCATATATGGCAATTATATTCCTTAATTTCATCAAGTATCCGAAACGTCTCTTTTCTTGTTACATTATAAACAGTTTTCCTGTTATCGAACTTGTAATGTTTTGTTTGCAACATCAGCACTTTAGCTAGCATTGCCCCTACAAGTTTTTTTTTCTCAACAGCGCCCTGTGATTGAGACTGAACGCGATTGCGGCGTAAATGGCGATAAAACTGTTGTTGACTGTTAAATTAGGTTACTGTATAGTAACATGCTTTAATTATAAAAATTGCATTAATATATGAGATGTGTCTTTGTATATACCATAGTAAATAAAATCATGAACTTGTACTAATTAACTGTCATTAATCAATAAATTAATTAAATGTATATTTTACTTTTCTTCCTTAACCTTATATGTATATGTATCCGTCTGTCTATCTAATATCTATACATATTATTAAATGAAATGGCATTTTGTTCCTGTATGCTTAGATCTTTTAAACTACGCAACGGATTTTAATGCAGTCTACCAATAGAGAAGGTCACCCTGATGATCGAGTAGATGTGAACTAAACTTACACTAGGTCCTATGTGTGGGTCATTCAGGTTGGGTGGTCCGTGTGGTGTAAAGACTGTAAAGAGGGAAAACTTAAAACAAACCCTTTTTTTTTTTTTTTTTTTTTTTTTTTTTTTTTTTTTTTTTAACGTGTGGAAATCCCCTCGGACCGTCACCCCTCCGGGGTTTGCGGCGGGGTGTGTGTCGGACTCGGACCGACTAAAACCACACGGTGTGCCACTCTGCGCCTGTAACAGGAGGGATCCGGGAAACAGCTGTTGTTAAGACATCCGGACCCCTCCTAGCGCCAGCCCGCTCCTGGTGCGGGCTCCGTCTCGATGTAGATGTTCCTCTCTTTAGGCGACGTCCGGCACACGCGGACGCCGCCCCCTCGCGGCTGGCCAAACTAATGCGGGTGGAGGGGAAACCCACCCCGCCCACCCGCGGCCACACTCAGGGCGGCATGAGGCTGTGGTAGGCGGGCCTCCGCCGCCCCGGTTCGCCGGCGGCGGATCGGGTCCGAGTGGAGGTCGTCCTCCCGGGCCCCTCTCCGCCGCCTCCTTCCGCGAGATTACTACCTCGCAGAAGGTTGCGACCGCGGTAAAACAACTGTCGCTACCGGCCATGGAGCGTACTACGGCCGGTAGCGAGAGATCCACTCCGATTGACTGCAGTGAGGGCCCGGCGCTGCGCCGCCCATGCGGGGCAGACCGCCAGCGTGTGCTGGGGCCGAGTCCTCACTGCAGTCGCAGTGGTGGCAGGCGGGACTCAGTTCCCTCCTAGCGACCGTGTGCAGGTGCTTTCCGAAGCAACCATGCCCGGGAAGCACCTGCGTCAGCCGGAAGGAAAGGGTCCCCACTTTCCTAATTTTTTTTCCCCAAAACCCCAAAGGAAGTTTTAAATTTTTTTAGCCCCTATTTTGGATTTTTGTTTGAATTTCTTTAATTAAAACCCGGAAACTTAAAAATTTGGTTGGTTGTTTTCCGACAGAAAGGGCTTTTTTTAAAGAAACAAAAAAGTCAATTTTTTTGGGCATATGGGTTAATAAAAAATTTCAAACAAGTCGGACTCCCCCTTAAACGAGAGTTCTGAAACAAATTTTTATGGGGCCAAAATAAATACTTTTTTTCCCTTTTGTGTGGAAAACCCCCCTCGGGCCCGGTCCACCTCACCGTTTTTTTTACGGAAAGGGTGGGTGTCCCTCGAAGACTAAAATCCCCCGGGTTTTGGTACTTTCGGCGCGGTAATAGGAGGGACCCGGGGGCACTAACTTTTGGTTATTAAGACAACCCGGACCCCCTCTTAGCACCTGACCGGAACGGCGCGGGGCCCCAAACCTAAGGGGCAAAATTCCTCTTTTCTTTACACACATTTTTTCCCACAGAAGATGCACCGGGGTAAAACATCCTGCCCCCTACCACCCTGGAGGTATGAGGGGCCGGCAGCGGAGGGCCCCTCCGAGGGACTGCAATGAAAACCCGGCCCCTGTGCACCCAATTTGGGGCCCCAAAGGCCCCAAAAGGTGTGCTGGTAAGCCCTCACTGAAATTGCAGTAGTGCCCAGGGGGGATTTAATTTTCCCTCCTAGGGGTTTTCCCCGAACCAGCCGTCCCCGGGAAAGGCGGGCGTCGGGTCGGGAAGGGAAAAGGGTCCCATGCGGGCCGCTCGACGATAACCCGGCGGGAAGTGCCTCCACCGGCAAAGCCAGATGTGGAAACTAAACCCCGGGACCCCAAACGACCCCCCAACCCGGGGGGGGGGATCGGCGAGGGGCCCCTTACGCCCCCCGCGTACCTTTTCGGGGGGGCCCCGACTGGGGACTCCCCGGAAAATTCACCCGTCCCCCAAATTACTTGGGCCGGAGCCCCCCCCCCCGCCCCAAAATACCAAGGGGATTTTCCGGGGGGCCCAAATTTAAAAATTGTATATTATAGAACAACCAAAGAAGTAAAAAGCATCGGGTTCATTGTTATCCCCGTATACAAGTTCTGCTTATTTTTGGGACTAAAAGGGGTTTTGGGGGTGAAGGTGGTAGAACTAATAAAAAGGATAATATATAGATGTAAACTTTTTTTTGTATGTGTTTGCCCCTTCAGGTGATATCGACCTCCGCTCCTATCCAACAACTTTTAATTTGTATTAAAAAACAAAAAAAAAATTTCACATTTCGAGAACCGGGTTTTGGTGGTGAAACGAAAGAAAGAAGACTCCGTCACTTCTAGGGGCGGGCCGTTTTAAGTGTTCAGACTTAGGCCGTCCCACTTAACGACCATCCGTTTAAAAAACCACAATCCAACATAACCTGGTGGCATCTGAAAAGAAGGTTTTACTTGAGGGATAAAAAAATTTTTTTGGGCCCTTTTGTGTGCCAATCTCAATGCCTTTAAGAATCACATAATGTAATACTTTTTCCTTCCCTTTAAATTTATTTTTGGTGTTTTTTAAACCCCTTTTTATATAAGGGTTGTCTGAAATTTAAAAAACTATTTTTTAAAATAAGGGGAAAAATTGTATTCCCTTAAATTTCATCAATTTTCCAAAACGTCTTTTCCTTTGTTACTTTGAAAATACTTTTTCTTTTAAATCAAAATTTTGCCCAAAATCAATACAAAATTTGCTAGAATTTTTACTCCCTGCTACTTTCTTTTTTCTCAACGCAATTTTTCTCAGGGGACCTTTCAAACCAAATTATCATTGCGGCTTAAATTGCTTTTAAAAAACTTTTTTTTGACGATGGGGTTAGTTGTATGGAAAAATTTGCTTAAAAAAAAAATTGTCCCGGGCGGGCTATAGATATAAAATGACAAAAAAAGAACAAAAATTTTTTTTCCTTTCTAAAGAAATTTCGTCATTTGTCAGATTTCATTTACTAGAGAATTTCTATCCATAATGTAATGGTTCTTCCTGTTTTCCCTTAAATTTCTCTATTTCCCCAAAATTTTTTGAAAAACGTTTTTAAATTTTTTATATTTTATTGAATTTGAAATCTTTTGTTTGCAATATCAATACATATTTTGGAAATACTTATTTTTTTTTTCCCAATTTCAACCTTTTTAAATTTGACTTTAAATCAAAACGAAGCATTTTACGTCGAAAAATTTCCCCGGAAAAACCCGTTGTTGCCCCCTATAAAGATAAGTTAGTGTATTTAAAATACTTTTAAATATAAAAATTTATAAAATGGGCTGCAGATACAAAAACCAAAATAAACAGAACTGCAAAAAAAAAACCATCTGGAGCCACCTTGATTTTTTAATTTTTCTTTACAAATTACTCATAGGAAGTTCCCAAAGTCATGGCCTCCGGATTTCATTTTGGGGGGGTTTTTAAATATCTTGTTTCATGTTTCTAGTTTTGAAAATTAGGAATTTCCATTCAACTGTTCCCCCTTTTAAATTTAAAGTTCTACAGGCTAAAATTTTTTAAAAAACCCTTTTTACACATTTTGGTTTAAAATAATTTCATTTTTAAAAAAAATTTAAGTTAGTAACCCAAGCGGTTTAGCTCTGTTTTAAAGGGAACCTTAAATCCCCAGCCAGGATAATTTCTTTTATATGTATAGAAAAGACATTTAATATTAAATTTAATGTTTTTTTTTAAACTATTTTTTAGGGAAGTTTTATAAAAAAATTTTCCAACCCTCTTCCTGCAAAAAGTAGTTTGTATGTAAATTACAACCCCAAATTTTACCCCCTTAGGGGGTCATTTTCGCAAACCCGGGGAACGTCTTTTCTTTTTATATGAAATTTAGTAATTACGAAATTTCGTTTTTGAAAAAATTTTTAACCATTCATTATACTTAAAAAAAAACATTACACTTTTTCCAGCACCTTTTTGGGGAAAAAAACGAAAGTAGGGAAGGGGACAACCCGTCAATTCTATAGGGAAACCGCCCCGGGTTTTCCCAACTTGGGCCGCCCAGTCGACGACACACCCGGGTTAAAAAGCACAATCAAACTATAAGCCCGCGTGCATCTGCAAAGAAGGTTACTTGGGGAAGGGACCCATGGGCTTTGTGTCCCTTAATCTCAATCCGTAAAGTATCCTTTTAATTTTAAAGCTTCTTCCTTTTCCCTTTTAAAATTTTAAAATTTTGGGTTTTTTTAAACGCCTTTACATTGCTTTGTCCCCAATTATAAAAACATTTTTTTTTTATATATGGAAATTTAATATTTCCTTAATTTCATAAAGGGTACCCCCGGAAACGCCCTTTTTTCCCTTGGGACTTTATAAACATTTTTTCCTTTTATAAAAAATTTGTATGTTTTTTTTTGGGAAAACATCGGGCATTTTAGCTAGCATTGCCCCTAAAAGGGTTTTTTTTTCTCAACGGGCCCCCCCTGTGATTGGGGACTAAAAACGCGATTGCCCCGTAAATGGCGTTTAAACTGTTTTTGGGACTGTTTAAAATTTAGGTTACGGTATAGAAACATGTTTTAAATTTAAAAAAAAAATTCCCATTAATTTTTAAGATGTGTCTTTGTATATACCATAGTTTTAAAAATCATGAACTTGTACTAATTAACGGTCAAAAATCAAAAAATTAAATTTAAAAAGGTATATTTTACTTTTTCTCCTTAAACCCTTATATTTATATGTATCCGTCTGTCTTCAAATATCATACATATTTTTAAATGAAA